TCTAAATGTGAGAGGTGAGAGACAATATAACAATGGGTGTACTATTTTGACGTTTGTTTTTTTGTTTGACAGTTTTGTTTGACGCACATAGGTTTTTGTCTTTCAATGTTGTTACACTTTTTTTATTCTCGGTTGAGCGTCGTATGTTGGTATGACAAAGAAATGTGATATTATCATAAATTAGCTTCGTGTATTCATGCACGTTTTTTGAATAGTTTTAAGTTAGTGATAAATAAATAATAACAAAATGTTTATACATTCTGTGAAAGTTCATCGTGTTTACAAAACTGCTGCCAAAATTATAAAGCAGGTCTTAGAAGATGGCAAAGGTGTCAAACAATTATTATTCGAGCAAACCCACGTCGTAAGTAGTAAACATTCGAACCTAACTTTTTGTCAGAGCATGTGACTCTGTTTGTATATAAATTAGAAAACGCAGGTATGTATATATTTTTTATTTATTTCAGAATATCAAAACTTTGAATGCTTTAGTTTTTGAGACGTTGAAACATGCTAGAGTTTTGGATATATTGATACAAAGAACGAGTATTTTGTTCAATGAACCTAGGTTAGATCCTTGGTTAGCTAGAGTGCTTATGACAGAATTATTATGGGGCAAAAAAGACAAATTAGTCTCGGACGCTAAGCCCGTTAAAACAATATTAACCTACAGCAAAAAATTTCAAGCAGTCTTAAGAGATCTTTCAACTGGAATGCCCGAGCAACTTAAAGAAGGTAATTTATATATTTTTGTTTGTTGCAGATCGTTACAATATGGAAACTAGCACTACTGAGAATGAGACCACGCAATTGCCTAGATTTAGGACCCCTGCACATTCCAAACAAGCTACTTGGGCTATGTTCTATTTATTCATATACAGTGTTCTGATGTTTACATTCCCATTTGCTGCATTTTTTGGCACGAGACATTATTTAGCAGAGCATTTGCATATTGTAGGATTTACTAATACGGCTTGTTCTGTATTAACAGCCGTTATAGCAGCAAATGCAGTTATTATAGCCTATGCGTATAGAGCATATCATGAAAAAGAGTATGATGAAGAAGGAAAAGAAATCGACCAAAGTGTTATTCCTGAACCCCCTAAACCCAAAGACGAATAATTAATTTATAGTTTTGATTAAATTTAGTATTCTGTTTGTGTGAAAGTTTTCTGTATACATGTGAAATATATTTCTTTTTCTCAATAATTTGGTTTCTCATATGTAAAGATACTACTGGAAAATTTAATTTAATTACATTTTATTTTATATAATTATTTTTGTAATAAAACGTGAAACGATTAGGTTGGCAACTAAGTAATTGCGGTGTTAACACTCAGATGGTTTCAATTGAATTTTTAGATTTGCTGACGTAGTTCAAATGTAAAATACCTTTCGTTGATGGATAGTAAGCAATTAGATATCATAGATGATTGTGTTTTTGTTTGGCATTGGAAAATGAATTATATTTTGCTCTTTCATTTCTGCAAAGGTCCAAAAAAAGGCATCTTAAACTCACAAAAAGTTATTAGCTGCTTATGGTGATGAAGTCATAAAAATGTTGTTGTGTCAAATTTCTTTCTGATAATTTTGTATTTACTTTTGAGTGGTGAACAATTTTATGGTGTTATATTGTACCCGATTCAGTTTTTGGCTAATGAAAATCTGATAGTGTAAGATAATGATACTGCTTGAAAGATGACAAAAAGTTATTGATCAAAATGGGCAATTCGTTACAAAATAAAGTTATTTAGTTCCATGAAAATTCTAACAAAAATCCAAAGTTACTTGGTTGCCAATCTAATACAAAAGTAGTTGTATATTTTGTTTTTTTTAAAACATATTTTGAATTAATGTAAAATCCATACTATAGAAAATTGATGAACCAGTCTAAATTGTTAGAAGTTTAAGTTTTTGAGTTTACTTGAATTTTATTTGAATTGAAATGCAAATGTATTGAATTAACTACTTTTACATATATCAATTATTTTCTTATAACAAAACATGTAATGATTTCAAAATATAAAAATGAAAAATATTTTGTTTTGAACATTTAACATCTATTTCCATTGTCATTTATTAACAGCATTATCGACTGATAAAAAACTGCCAGAACTCTATCATCCAAGATATGTAAGGGTCAATACTCTGACTCTGACGATGCAAGAAGCAATAGATGGCTTTAGGGACGAAGGATGGACTTTGATTCGGCATAACATCGATTGGACTTACAGAGATTTTTTAAAAGTGGTTTTAGAACTACCAGCTGAACATTTCATACCGGACTTTCATATACCCGAACTGCTTGTGTTTCCGCCTGATACACAATTTCATGATTATCAATGCTATTTACAAGGACACATTGTTTTACAAGACAAGGTGATTTAAAAATATTCCTTATCATAATATATATAATATATTCTATAATTATATAAATATATAATTATTATTTCTATATTTATATAATGAATATGTAATATTATAAAATAACCATGAATTATCTAATTTGTGCATTAATTTAATTATAGATCATATCATCATTAGATGATTTTATTATATTGTAATTATTACTGATTATTAATGCATATTATTTTCTTAGGCCTCATGCATGGCTGCACATATGTTAGCACCTGAACCTGGTTCAAATGTCTTAGATATGTGTGCTGCTCCAGGAATGAAAACTACCCATTTAGCAGCGATAGTTGGAAATAAGGGAACAATTTATGCAATTGAAAAAGATACACGAAGGCATGGTGTTCTGTCTGATATTGTTCAAGCAACCAATTCAACTTGTGTGAAAACTATAAATGAAGACGCTCTTAAAATTACTGATGAGCAATGTCCAGACATTGAATACATTTTAGTTGACCCTAGTTGTTCAGGCACAGGTAATTATGGTTATATATATATATACAAATTTGACTTCCTCAGTGGATAAAAAAAAGCTAATTTGACAAAAAACAAACATTTTCAGTGAAAATAATACTTCAACAACAATCATGTTAGTGAAAAAGAATTAAGAATATTTGATTTGAAAGATGAAGTCATTATTTTTTTGTAAAATGAAATCATTATGTTTTCGTTCCTAATTAAATTTATTCTGCAATCTATTAGATAAAACAATGAGCACAGTTTGTTAATAATATAAAAATGGAATAACATTGGGTTATTATAGATATCATTTGATATATGTTTTGAGGATTTTATTATAGATATTCCCAGCAGTGAATCTATTAGTAGTATAATCAAAATAATAATGTTGTTTTTCATAATATAATGTTTGTTTTAGGTATGTTAGGTCGCATAGAAACCGCCGCTCCAACCATTCAAGATAAGAGATTAGAAAGATTAGCTGGTTTTCAAATTCTAATATTAAGGAGAGCTTTGACTGCTTTTCCCAAAGCTAAAAGAGTTTTATATTCAACATGTTCGACACATACTCAAGAAAATGAACAAGTTGTGAAAGAAGTAAGAATCATATAGTTTTTACATTCTTGCTATAATACATACATAGGTTTTTTAAAGTATATTGGTGCTCTTGAAACAAAACATCAATTAAAATCCATCTATATTTGATGATAAGTAGCATGAAGCACTTTTCATAGTTAAATTGTATCAAATCAATGGGGTATTCTGGTCTGGAACATGAATTTAATGCAATTTTTGAAAGACCATAAAAAACGCAAACTATATTTTTGCTATACATATATTTTTTGCAAATTATTAATTCATGTTTTGATAATATAAGAAAAAGAAAATTCAAAATAGTCATAAAGGTGATGAAGTAGGGGATCTCAAAAAATTGGCTTCTCCTGATTTCAGTCTTTCATTTGTTGAAGAAAAAATAATTATATATTATCAATCTAGAATAATGTCGCAATGGTAACAAATTAAAAAAATGTTTTTTTTTTGACAATATAACGACTGTCTGAAAACTTTTATTCTTGAATTTTTTAAAAATGATAAAAACTGGAATTTGAGGATGAGCATAGTTCATACTGAAGAAAAGTCTATAAAAAAGATTCAGTAAAAAATTTCAAGTAAATCGATTTAGTATAAGAATCGATAGAAATCATGTTTGAAGTTTTGTCGAGGAAGGAAACAGAAGAGGATTATTGTGCTCAAACAGCTGTATCTCTGAAAATAATTCAAATTTTGAAAATCCCTCTTGCACACATATTCTTAAACAGCCAAACTTTGAAAATATGCAAAAAAACAAACTTTTTTTTTTTCAATTTTAGACCTGAATACCCTCTTAAATGATATTATAATTGTAATCGATTTCTTAATTTTGATAAGCTCAGTTTTATTTAAAAGTTTTTAACCTTAATGAATCAAATTAGCAATGAATCTCTAACACTACACCATGAGAAATTTTTATTTACAATCATCAATTGTTTTAGGTTCTTGAGACAACAAAGCAGTTTCGGTTAGTATCAGCTAAAGAGCTGCTGAAGAAAGAATGGCTAAGCTTCGGTTCAGATAAATACGAGGGCATTGGTGAAAATTGTCTTTACTCCAAATCAGAGGTTGATTACACTAATGGATTTTTCATAGCTGTTTTTGAAAGAATAGCTCCTCATGATGAGCGTGATGTATATGTCAAAGGAAAGAAATGGAAGGAAATAAAACAAGAACCTGAAGATGACTATGAATATGGTAACACGGATATGGTTAATTATGGCATGAGTAATAATAATATCAGAAATAATATCAAACCGGAAAATGACCAAGGGCAAAATGATGAATCAATAGATTATAATAAATCCTATATTAAAACAGAACTCAAAGAAGAAAATACTAATGATCAAAAGTTGAAATCAAAAAAGATTAAGAAAGAGAAGAGTGCTAATATTGATAAAGAAATTACTAGCAGTGATAATCAGAATATTCTGAAGAGTGAGAAGGAAAATGCTGATGAATCTAATGAAGTTATGAGTTCAAATTCAAAAATAAAAAAACCTAAAATGAATTTAGAAGAAGCAACTACTAGTGAGAGCATTTTAAATGGCTTTGTAGGTGCTAATAACGAGAATGAGGAAATAAAACAGGAAAAAATAGGTGAAGTTGATATTACAGAAACACGAAAACAGAAGAGGAAACGAAAAAAAGAAAGCAGTCATGAAGAAAATTTAATAGATAATAGTATTGATGATACTCATGGTCAACATAATGGAAATCATATTGATAGTACAATTGATGATGAAGAAAATAATCAATTACCTAAGAAGAAAAAGAAACAAAATAAAAACAAACAAGTTCTTGAAGAAATTTCACCTGAGAATATAGAAAATATTCAAATTGACACCCCTGATCAAAATATTGATAGTACAATTGATGATCAAGAAAATAATCATATACCAAAGAAGAAGAAGAAAAAAGATAAGCACAAGTCGGTCAAAGAAGTTTCATCCATGAATAGTGAAAATAGTCAAATTGACAATGAAGTAGCATACTCTGATATACAATTAGAAAAGAAAAAGAAGCACAAAAAACATACCATCAATTCAGAAACTAATCTTGATATTACGAACAGTAGTAATACAGATTTGGTTATCAAAGATAAGAAAAGTAAATCCAAATGTTCTGTAGATAATGAAGCTAATTCAAAACAATTAATTGATAGTAGTTCAGAATATACTAATAAACATAAAAAATCAAAACAAAAATCAGATAAAGATGATTTATCACCAGAAACTGTAGTATCTGAATTATGTACTGATGACACAAATAAACAAGAACAGAAGAAAAAAAAGAAAAAAGAAAAGAAATTAAAGGAAAAGTCAGAGGTCGATCAAGAATCAGAATCTTCTAAACTGATTGAAAATGACATAGTCCAAGAGAAGAAACCAAAGAAATCTAAACATCAAGATAAAGAAAAAAACTCCACAGTTTCTAATTGTGATTTGCACGAAGCTCAATTAGATAATGTATCTGTAATTCAGAAAAAGAATAAAAAATCCAAGAAACATATAGCGGAAAGTGATGAAAATCCATGTACTGATCAAAATCTAGCGTATGAGGAAACCGAAGTGCCATTGAAAAAGAAAAAGAAAAATAAGAAGTCAAAATCTGAAGTGTTGTGCTGAGTGAATAGTATTACAAATTGAGAATAATCAAGTCGGATCTGATGAATTTGAATACACCACCATAACAAACAATACTCAGAATGAAATATTAATGAAGATTATATATGAATTCTTTTGTTTTTATTATATTGTTATGACGATTTTTATGTTACGAATAAATCTGTTCTAATTAGAATTTTCCTTTTATTCCAAAATAATTGGTATACTAGCAGACACACGGACAGACAGATTTTAATTCTTCAGCTTTCAATTCTGTGGATTATTCATTTTACGTTACAATGATGTTATGATCTTATTGTATGTTTGGTAATTGATGTTCTAAAATATAAGCAGATTATTGTTTTGCAATTGCAGCAAATGTTAAGTTAGCTTAATAACTTCAATTCAAGGAAATAATTAAATTTTCGGATCCTTGATTTTTTATTGAAATACAATTGGAAATAAATTCGCATTGAAGAAAAGAGTTAAATATGAATGTCTTCAAATATAAATTCTATATATTTTATTATAGCAAATTGTTCGTAGTTTTCTGTATTGAATTTAAAACAACTATCTCATCATGATTATTTAAAAAAAAAATCAGGAAGAAAACGTTGCGCCGATATAAAAAATCAATGATTTCTTTTATTTTTGTTTAATCATAAAAAACAGATAAAAAGAATGTAGCTATGTATATGCACCTATGCACTATTTATGGAGTCTCATACCTAATTTTCTGACCATTTTTTCTTCAGCTTCTTTATACATTTGCATTTAATTATATTTCGTGTTGAGAGACATTTATTAGAATTTACACCGGTAAAATGAAAAGCAATGCGGCGCCTTTGTCACGCAACTTATTGTCGGACATTTTATATTAAATATTTGCATCCGAATTAGGGCAAGGTTTTGAGATAGACGTTTAATATTTTTTCAAACATTGGGTCATTAATATATCGTCATAGATAATTTGTTGTCTAGTCTTTCCAGAACAAGAAGATTTTTCAAATTTTAAAAGGTTTTACATCCTTATTTTAATGAAAGATGAGCAGATTAAGGCAATCAGATAATGACATTTTTGCAGAAGGATTAATATATCAGGAAATACATATAACTTTCCTTTTGTTCACAGAAAATTGTCAATGGCGTAACTAAAGATTTCTGTATAATAATCTTATATTAAACAAGAAATTATAAAGAACTTACCAATAACGGATTTTCACCCAAACTTGTCAAATAAATCGTCATTGTTCCTCCCTGTGTTTTAATTAGTATCACGTATATTGGCTTGCGAAAGGATTGGATAAAATTTTACCTACACATAAGTAACAGTCATATTAGTTATATTTACATTATAAAAAAAAAACTTGTACAATTTTATCACATTCTAGCTATAAGTCGATAAAAATATATTCTGAGTACAGTATCAAATAAAGACTGTAACACGCAAATCATTATAAACTATTTTATTTGGAATAAAAAATGAAACTAACTTCAGGTATATTTACATATATTTATATCGAGACAGGAACAGTTGCAGGGTGACAACATAAGGGAGACATGCGCTAGTGTTCAGTTTAATGTATAATGTATATTTATTTAAAAAAATATATTATAACTAGCTGAAAGTGGCCTTGAGGCAAGTTGCACGAACTTCCCTAAATTTATAATAATTGACTTAATCAACCAAAATTGTGATTCAGAAATTTAGATAAAATTTTCAATTATTTATTTCGAAAATAAAGTTATCGTTAAATCGAAACATTTACAATAGAATTTTCGAAACATTTTACAATAGAACACATCAAAATTATGTGTTATTATATTAATTATACTGCACAGACAAGTGCTTGTATGTCCTAAAATTGTCGCTTTTTATTTTAAATTTTAATGAGTTGATAATGTTTGACTCTTTCACATCACAAAAGCAATTTTTGACACAAATTTTGACTACAATATTTTCTCAAACTTTGATGAATTTTTAACATTAAACTATTTGTCGTAGGTCTGTAACATTTTAGTATTATAAGACCATGATACCTATTGTCAAAAAAGGTTTATAAAAATCGCCAAAAAAGTTTTTTTCAATAGTTAATTTCAAGAAAACGGTCCGGTAGATTTTTACCTAAAACTCAGTATCATTCCCATACAAAATCTTTCGAAAAGTTTTTCATTTTTTAAAATTGATTCAGAATTGAAAGCAAAAAGTTTTTTCAAAGTCCACCTAGGTGGACTGATTTGTTTTCACTTTTCTGCTATTTACAAAGAAACGGCTCAGCCGATCGTCGGACAAAACTGAGAAAAGATAATCCACATCGAAATACATCGATTGGCTTTTAAATTTTCGAAATCGTTGCAGGCGTTTTTAAGCGTCGATGAAGGTTCTAATTTTGACAAAAGCCAAAAAACGATACTAATTTTTGCAAACTTTGAGGAATTTTTAAAATTAAACGACTTGTAGGGCCGTAATATTTTAATATGATCATATTTTCATATTCTTTTTTGCATATTTTCTGCCAAGATCTCGTTATGATGTTTGTCACAATACTCCTCCGAAACGACTGAACCGATCTTTACAAAATTTTGAGAATCGCGTAGTAAGGGAATGAAGTAGTAAGGGTTGACCGCTATTAAGATTTTTAAAATTTTGTACTGGACTAATCTTTTGTTTGCAGCCATAAATTTTCACCCTCCTACAACAAACTTCTATCTCACAGAAGTCATTTTAGAATTCGAATAATTTTTCATCCCATTCATTTTTTATTTTGACTAAATTTTAGTTCAGATTTTTTATAAAAAAGCTTAAATTTTACTTGAAAAAACTTTTTTTAACAAGGGTTGTCTAGCTCTTTCGCTTCTTTAATTTCCTTCATTTTAATTTTTTAAATGCAGAATTGAAAAATACATGCAACTCTAAATTTTGATCCTCCTACCACAAATCTCTATTTCTTAATAGTCATTTTAGTAACCCTCGATAACTGATCAAATATCGTCTTTTTTGTGGAAGTTTTTTTACTGAATTTCGATCAAGACTTGTCTAATATAAAGAAGCTTAAATCCGCTCTAACCGCCGAAACATTCTTAAAATAGATCTTTGATATTTAATTGGCGACAGAAAGGTTACCATGGATAAAACTAGATATGCATCAAATTATTAATTCATTCTTGTTCAATTGTTGATTTGCAGCATCATCCCATTGTACAAATATACACACACAGTACATATTTCATAAATGGCTTACAGAAGGAGCAATTTTAGAAAAAAATTGAATAATAAAATCTGAAGATACAGTTTTTGAGAGAAAACTAACCATAAAAACTACCATACAAACTTATGACAAAGCAGTAAATTTTTCCGAATAGCTCAATTCGCTATGCAAGCCACAACATAATTAAAAAATGTTCGGATTTTGCTTTATAATTAAAAATAATAATGAATTCAAGAAAAGCACGGTAATAATGGATCAAATTGTGCTTTCAATTCAATTTAAATGGAATCAGTTTCAGTTTAGGCTGGCACTTGCATTGACTATTTATTATGTCCCGGGAACATTTATATGTGGCAAGCGATGCAGTGGGTAAACCACCAATTGAATTTGTGTAAGCCCTTTTCACTTATATACTATTCAGAATCACTTGTATGATTTTTATACTAAAAATATTCTAGAATAATTGTTTATGGCTAAACAACGTTTGTGTGTATGTGTGTTTGTATGTACTTTATTTGAATAGACTTTACCAGTTCATTGTGTCTCAAAAGCAAGTTTTCTTAATAAACCTAAAACACGTCAATTCTCATTATTACCTATGGTGCATAAGAATAAATTGACACAGCCATATCATTTACAAGTGAGTATAATAGTGTATAGAAATACATACAAAAATATATAGGTGTACCCCCAAGTTTTTACATTAAAAGTTCGTGCGGTGTTTGGCGTATTAGAGTATTAAAAACGATTTGATAAGATCTCAGTTGAATACTTAGTCCAGTATTATTATATAAATAAATATATAGACGCGCTCGCTCGCAAAGTGGCATGATTTGTCGTTGTGCCCTACTTGCCCCTACTGGAGACACTTTTTTTCGTTTCCACGGATAAAAATCAAGTCGAACCATTTGGTAATAGGCCTCATACAAATAATAGAAATGATTTTTGATAGGACATTTTAAGAAAATGTGCGAGTCTATCTTAAGGGCGAACAATCTCATGTCTTTGTTTCGTACATTCAAAAGGAGAATTATATGTTTTCGCCAGAAAATCCGATGTGCCTATTATATGGTCTCTCGACGTTTCAAGTCATTCGCAGTTATTCTACACCAAAATTGAAAATAGTATGTAAATGAGCCAAAATTGGACTTTTCATCAACATTTTCTCTAGAACGAATGCACCGTTTTTAAAGGACTCACGTTGTTTTGCGCAACTATCGGCCGAGCCTGTTCTGTTAAGATTCATGAAATAATTTAAGAATATTATATTATTAACTTCTCGTAGGCTAAGTTATAGTAATATAAAAAATCAAAAATGAATTATTTTATATATCTTCAGTTTTCTGAACATTCTGGCATACCTTAGAAAAAATGGATGTAAGTGTGTGTGTATGTGTGTGCGGATACAAATTTTCGTCGACGATTTCGCGAACACGGATCAACCGATTTGGATAGCTTAAAAAATATTCGATTCCTACCGATAGGGAGATGTGCTGATTAGTTCTTCGCAAAGGTAGGACTAGCCGTTTCGGAGATACGGGGCAAAAAGTGCCAAAAATGATATTTCAGTTTTTAAATTTAAATAATTCAAAAAACATTTTACTTGTATTGACGAAATGAACAACTGGTAAAATTTTTGTAAATGCAGGTCCAGCGTCTTCGGAGATCCAATAAAAAAAGTAAAAAATAATGCCATTTAGCGGGCAAAAATGAACATTTGATATATGTACATCGTATTATCAGATATTTTATAAAGATTATAATGATAAGTACAAATTTTGTGTACATTTATATGAGTTATGAACCAATGTTGACACGTTAGACGACTACGCGGCGCTTACGCGCTTTGATATTTCTGGTCTAAATCAGCTATGCAGCGCGATTGCTTAAAAATAATGTTCGAAATTTTCAAAA